TTTCATTTTAAAAACAATTCAAAAGTCTTTTTTCTTTTTTCTTTTATTCATTAAATGCAATTTATTATTTTTATTATATTCTGACTATGTGATTGTGGACCATAATCTTCATTAACATTATTGGATCTTGGGTGTTGAGTTTAACTCCACTAAAATGGATGAATGATTTTAATGATAGTTTGATCAAATATTTTGATTTAAATATTCCCCTTCCCTCTTCATCTCATCCTTTTCTCACTCGTATTATATATTATTAGAGGATGATTTACATATCATCTCATTAAATATATGGTACATAAATTGCTATTGACCGGCCTCAAAATATGTGTGACTTCTATATAAGTCCACTTACGATTGCTTAACATAGCGCTAAATTTTATCCCGATTCAAAAAATGATCATTCGTGGCCAAATCTATGTTTGCAAGCCCAAACATGTGTAATTTAAAACCTTTGATCCAATAACCTTGAAATCTATTGTTAGGAGGCTTTAGTCTTATCAATCCTTTAATGAATCTTCATAAATTTTGGAACTAAGTGAATCATTTAAACATCGTTGATCATTTATTGTTGCCTTGAGATTTTGAAATGAATGATATACTTGACAAAAATCAAATGAAACTTGTTGTTTAGAGACTTTGATTTTATCAATATTCTAATGAGTTTTCAAATGCAAGTTTCAATATGGTCATTCAACTAACCTCTAATTCCTAACAATTGACTTTATTTTATGCTTTTACTTTATGCTTTTTATTTTGAGCACATTTATTTTAGCATTTTTGTTTCATGCTACTTTCATCTTTGCTCATTTAAACATTTATCTTTATGTCATTTTCATTTTACTCACTTGAACTTTTCATTTCTTTTTGAAGATATCTAATAATCAACTTGAACTATAAAAAACTTTAATGTTACTTGGACTATTTGGTTACTATCCTTGGCATTTTGGAATTATGGACTTTTTGGACTTATGATTAGACACCTTGACCTACCTTGAGACTTTGGTGACTTCTATTGTTATTTTGTCTGGAGCTCTTGGGGTTTACCCTAAGATATTGGGTTGTTTGTTTTCTTTGTGTGCAGGTTATTCTGTTTATGTGCTTTGTCTATGATTATGAATTCATCTGTATACCGCTGTTACTCTGCCCAATTTTTGTGAAGACTTAATACATTTGAAGCTTGGTTTTCTTAAGAGGTTGATTATATTTGATTGTTTGGTTTCAATCCAATGGATGGGAATTCTACATTGACTCATTATGTCAAGTGTTGACTTCTTGTTCATTAGACGGTTCTTTTCCCTAGCTTTTACCTTATGCTTTAGGATAGTCCCTTCATCTCCTTCTGTCTTCTTTAATTTCAAAAATCTTCTCCCTCATTTTCAAAACTATTATTGTTTTTAAACTTGAATAGCTTTCACAATAAACTTAGACTTAGGTCCATGCATTTTCAAAATATTTTCTTAATCAAACTTTAAACAACTTAATCATACTTTGATATTTTTTGTGAGAAGACTAAAAGTCAATCAATCTCATTCAAACCATTTTGCCACTTTGACTTTTTACTTTAAACTTTTCTCAAAAGATTAGACTCTGTCAATCCTCATAGTGATGCGAGCTACTATACTTCTACGATATGTAGTGAAGTGAGACATTTTCCACTTGGGTGTTGAGTGATGTTTTGTTGATTTTAAAATCCAAGCTATATCCTCCACTTTGAGATAATGCAAATTCTCATTTCTCATAATCGTGGGAAGTAAGTATGTTCTTCCACTCGGATAAGACGATGATGTCTCGTCTCTTAAAATTAACCAACACACTTGTGTTTTTAAAATTTTAAAGGTGAACTACTAGTATCCTGATCCCTATTGCACGAAAGGTGGTATGTAGGCATTAAAGGTTCGCAATCGCGACAGGTGCAAAAATTGTGAAAAATATTTCTCTTCTCATCACCACCATCTATTTTTATACAACTCTTATAGCCAAAATACATAAATTTTCAAAGAGATTCCTGCGGAGTATCGTAGATGTTTAGGGTGCTAATACTTTCCCTTTGTATAACCAACCTCCAAACTTAGATTCTCTCCCCCTTTTTGGGTTATTCGCTCTTTTTCCATTCCTTTGGAAACAATAAAGCGCGATGACAATTTTTATTTGATATATGCGAGTTAAGTCAATCCGATAGCTTAGTCTCAATATTTCTACCGCTACACTTACCATTTAGTTCATGGTTAGCCTGTTTAAAATCATAAGTTATAAGATCAGCCTGTTAAAATCTCAAGAGGTTGTTAGTTATCATGTTAAACCAATTTGAACTCAGTTATTTTTATGGAACTTCGAGACTAACCACTACAAGGTCCGTTTTGTGTAGAGAAGAGTAATCACTTCAATCTATAATTGGGAAGGAAGCTTGGTCACTTCAGTCTTAGCAATTTCATTGGAGAAGATGCAAACGATCATAAGACAATATTTTGGTTGTAGGAAAACCATCATTTCCTTATATATGGGTGTTCATGAGCTTTACCTACTAAAAGTTCTCAAGCATTTAATAAAAACTCTCAAGATCTATTTTTGGGAAGAGGAATAGGTCTTTTATTTGTGGCCGAACCTTTATAACTCTTGGTGTTCTTCTTCTTCCCTTAAACTCTTTAAATTCTGCATTTTATTTCAATATTTATTTTTCGCTGTTTAGATATAGAAAAATATTTTCAAACTTTGATTTTAATTTTAAAAAGTTTTCAAAACCACGTTTTTCTAAACCATACAATTCACTCCCCTCTTGTGTGTGAAGTCTCAAGTCCAATAAAATTTAGAATAAAGAGTTATAAATCAAGTCTCAAGAGATCAAATATTAAAAATTAAAGAATTCAAGTTAAATAGTCCAAAACAATTCATGTCGATGATACAAAAATTCTCCGAATGGAAGAGCAAGATACACCATTTAAGAAAAGGTTTTGCATGCTTATGGAGTTCAAGATACAATTTCCGGATGTCTAATTCCTTTACTCTAGGTGTTTTGTAACACGATTTTCAACTTAAGATGCTTAAACATAAAAATAAAAAAAAAAGAAGTTTGGTTCCATTACAAATTTTAGAGTTATAACATGATCTCCTACTTTTTTTTACCATGACAATATCTTTATTCTATTATTTGTGAACAATAATTCTCACTATTCTCAATATAACTTTCCAGGCTCAAATTAAGGTATAATTTGTCTTTATTTCAAATAAGAATTTTTCCGCTTAATAGATCATTATCTGTTATCAACGGAAAAATATTTTTCATCTTAAATTATAAATTAAGGTAATTTAGTTTGCACCAATTTTAAGAAAGCATAAATTTTATATACAATAGAATAATATATATATATATATATATATATATATATATATATATATATATATATATATATATATATATATATATATATATATATATATATATATATATATATATATATATATATATATATATATATATATATATATATATATATATATATATATATATATATATATATATATATATACTTCAATTTATTTATGAAATCAAATAGAACGTCTTCCAAGGCTTTCCTTTTTCTTTTCTGCTCAATTTTCTTCAAGACTTTTATTCTTGTTAGCCAGGATAGAAATTTGGTTGTCAATATTATTAGGCATTTTCTTTTCATACACTTCTATAATGTAGATCGCACGTCTAAAAATTTTAAGTTGTTTTAAAAAAAATTTAAAGATGTATTTTTGAACGTATTTTATTTTGTTTTATTTTGTTAAAAATTGGTTCGAAAATGCATCTTTAAACTTTTTCAAGGTGAATGCGGATATACATCTCTGAAAATACCAATGGCTCCATTAACTACACGTTTTTCCATTAAAATTGACGTTGTTGTTGGACGTCGGAGACTCTATCAATTTTAATCAATATTAGAGTCATAGGAATTGTATCCTCGCATTCTGACCCTAGCGTTCTTGCGTTGTTGGCCTTTACGCGACATAGCATTAAAAATTTGATTTTTAAAAAAATCGACTATGAATCGAAATTTTACCGTGTCATTTCATCAGAAAAAATCATAGATCAAAGTCTCTTATTTTGAGACAAAGTACATGACACCACCTTAAAACTCTAAATTCTTTACTTTTCTATTTTATTTGATTTATTTTCTGTTTTCATATTTTTTTTAAAATCTAAAAAAAATTGCAGACTCTTAATTTAACTTTTAGTTGTTTAGATTTTTATAATTCTATTTCAATCGTGTTTCTATTTTTCAATTGTTTTTTTCATTAGAGATGTTGTTGGTATTTACATATTTATTGTATGAATTAAATTTAAAAAAAAAACACAACAAATAACTTTTTAGACATGCATATCTAAAAAATACTATTTTTCGTAAAATATTAAAATTTATTCAAAGATATATCTTCGAAATCACTCATTTATGTTCAATTTTGTAAAAAATATATATATTTGAAAATACATATTTAAATTTAAAGCGTATTTTCTTTCTTTTCACCACATACTCGAGAGACCACAAAAGAGTGGGAAAAAAATTACCATATTATTATCATCATCGTTAAATACGTGTAAAAAGAAGGCCTTGGTGGCTGCTTCGTCGACCTGGATCAAGTCAAACTTGCTCATTTTTATTGACTAGGCTTTTTTTTTCGTGGTCATAGTTTTTTCTTTTTCTTTGTTTCAACTTTCATAAGAAGAGTTCTCTCATCCATGCCACTTTAAATACATTTACATTGTTCATGATACTGTGATTGGAGAAACATATTCTTTGGCTACTCTTTGAAATAGTTAATTGTAATCTATTTTAAAGCGAATAATAACACGACTCCTTCGCTGGAAAAGTAGTAAAAAACAACACAGTAGAATTGATTTTGCTTAGTTGGAGCGCATTATAATAAAATCAGGTAAAGTGAATTTGAGAGATTCAAATTCATTTCATTTCAACAAAACTCATCATTGCAAATTGTAACCGAAACAGTGAGAAACTGAGAGGATGGGTCACGAACACTCCAAACTCTCGTCGTCGTCGTCGTCGGAATCGGAGGGAAAAGGATCGCGTCTTGATCGATTCAAACACCGCCTTCACTTTCGCCGCAAAACTGCTTCTGCTACTAACGCTCATTCCTCCACTAACAAACTCCTCTCCGCCAACAACTTCACCGGAATCGCTCTCTTCGCACTCCTCCGTGTAATTCTCCTCACAATCGGATTGATTTTCAGTGAATTGGAATATGTGATGACTGTTTTCTTTGTAATGTAGGCGGAGATGCAGTTCAAGGATAAATGGATCGCGTGTCTTTCACTTGGAGAACAAACTTTCCGTACCAAGTGTTCTGAAAAGTTAACAACACTTCAATTCTTCATCATCATCATCGTCACTTTATTATTATCATTATTGTTATTCCAATTATCTACTATCTCGTTCGTGTATTGATTTTTTTTTTTTTTTTTACTATTATTATTGCTGGTGATGCAGTACAGATAAACCGGTTTGGAATTCTGTGAGTACTCTCTTATCTAATCTATTGACAATTTTTTATACTATAAATATAGATATATGGTCTCAAAAGTAATGCCTTATTATGAAAATGACACTCACACAACCACACCGTTAATAATTTTAAAAAATGAATAAATTAAATGTAATTATAAATGTCGATGTTGATTTCGGATACATACACCGACACGGACACACCTGTTTTCAGAGGTGTCGGCTACACTACAAATGATGACATCATACACCATATTAGGAGTACAGTTGGAGTACGGTTTACATTTTTTATAGGGTGTCTCTACAAAAGTGTGTCCAAATAGCATTGCTTCTTGATTATTTACTGTTAGTTAGGTTCTTGCATTGATAGTTTGGTTTGCTTATTCTAAATGTTGGTGTACTGAATTCGATGATATTTCTTTTGTGTGACTGATATTTTCTTCTGCAGGAAAAGAAACTTTTGTTGGAACAGAACGGGCCTCATATTGCAAGAGTTTCTATCTTTGAGGTTGTGCTATATATAAGAATTAAGAATTAACAGTATTACCTTTTCATTGGTTATATGCATTATTACCCTGTAGTAAGCGTAAAGTTTTCTTTGGGGGTGGGGGTTGTAATTGGGCGCGGAGTGAGACATCACTTTGTTAACCTGAGATAGAGAAGATCAAGGAAAACAATAAATAAAATGGATGAGAGAACCACTCTGAGTTTAATGATCCATCTTTAGATATGAATCGTGACAGGGATTTATAGTATTGTTTGATAAATATAACTGAATTTACGAAATGAAAATATCTTTAATTGTTGTTTATTGTTTTACATTAAAGAAAAAAAAAGCTTCATGTAGTATACAAACTTAAATTGTTTAACTGTTGTAACTTTAGGGCCCTTGCTCCTAAACACTGCATCTAATTTGATTTTTTTTCTCTCATGTAGACCAACAAACTGTCCAGCAATACTCTTGTTGGATACTTGGAGATTGATCTGCTTGAGTTTCTAACCAAGGTAAGGAAACTTTTTTTTTTTTTAAAGAAATCACAGATGTTAGACTTGTTAACTTATCAGCTTCTTCCGTGTCCTTTCAGCATTATTCATTTTACAGACTTTCATTATGAATGATATTATGGTGCAGGATTCTGATTCTGACATTGAAAAATTCAACGTTTTAGATCCTTCAGTCCCTGGAAAAGTGGTTGGCAACATCTCCATTTCATGCTCTGTAGAGGTATATGGTATACTAATACAATACAATTCTTTTGTTGTTAGGGTAAGATAAATTTTTCTAACAATTTTAAGTGAAAATTAACAGGATCCAATTGAAACAGAAAAAGGCTTTGTTAGACGCATTTTATCCATCGTGGTAAGATTGATCTTCCTCTACTTTCTGATTACTCATGTTTGTTGTGAGCATAGACCTAATTTATGAAGGTAGCACAAAAAGTGGTGATATATAGTCTCATCCATCTATATCAGGATATTGGTTTTAAACCAAAACTTCACCTTGGATTGTTACTTAGACTGTTTTGATATTGACACATATTTGCAACATGTTATGCAAATTGCTACCACTGGTAAATATTATTCGATGACAATGTCAATTTATTCAAGATATTTCCCTTATCTATTGGAGGATCTTAAAGCTTGAAAGGAAGTCTATATAAGTTGAATGCATAAAAGAACATTTGAAATCTTTGATATTATTCAGCGCCATTTAATGTCAACTACATAATTTATGCTTTTATGCAGGACTACAATGAAGATGGGATGCTTTCGTTTTCTGAATTTTCTGATCTGATTGATGCTTTTGGCAATCAATTAGCAACCAGCAAGGTTCAAACTATTTTGCACATTATACAATGCTGTTATCTTTGTTTTGAACTATTTTCTAGCTAAATTATCATCAGTGTTCTTCTGTACCTGGATATGGATTTGGACTTTGATTTTTAAAAAAATTATCTTCTAATTTCAGATATTATGGCTTATATAAACTAATAAAATCTGAATGTTGGAATTTAGAACCTCGATTTTGGACAATGGAAACTAGCTTTTTTGGTCATATCAAAGTCCAAATCTTCACTATAAAACGTCCTGGGTTTAAGGTTCAAATAATGAATCTTTGCCTTATAAATCATAAAATGATTTTACAAAATAACATCTAGTTTTGTATATACATATTATACTGCTTCAGCAATACATTCTTTTTCAATAGAAAGCGGAGCTGTTCAAAGCGGCTGACAAGAATGGAGATGATGCTGTGAGCATGGATGAACTGGCTTCTCTTCTTGCTTTTCAACAAGAAAAGTAATGATCCATCTAGAATACAAGAGACTAAAAGCTTTGGCTTTGTATGGATGTTGTTGTCTTTTGCTAGCAGTAGAGATATTACTATTAATTATAAATTTTCCAAGTGTTGTTTCTTTACATTTGTTTGGTTCTTATATGGCTAGCTAACTTCTGGTGTAGCAGGGAGCCACTGTTGAATTGCTGCCCTGTTTGTGGTGAGGTTCTTCATATTTCTGATCCGTTGAACAGCATGATCCACTTAACTCTTTGTTTTGACGAAGGGACGGGAAACCAGGTGATGGCTGGAGGATTCTTGACAGATAAGCAGGCTTCTTATGGGTACAATATTTGCAAGTTGCTACTCATTTAAGCCTTAAAAGACTGGAGAACATGATTTTTTTTTTACCTAATGGTTTATATAACAGTATTTTAGTGGCATATACTGCGGTTATGAATTTATGGTTTTAATATCACGAGATAATAAAAAACACTCGTTTACTTTTTGGTTTATATAGTTGGTTCTTCAAGTTGAGTGAATGGGCCCATTTCTCATCCTATGATGTCGGTATTCGATCTGGATCAAGTTCTTCCCATATTCTGGTATGCCATATTTCTTTCCATACCAATTTCCTCTTTCTTTGTATCACGCATCGTGCCTGAATGTATGTTTCAAGTTATATCAGGATGATCAATCAAGAACCTCTCTGAAATTCCTTCTATCCAACACTGATAACTGAGTTTACGAATCACATTCACCATAATTAGAAGAAGGCTACCAAGAACAATTATCAATCCTTCCGGCACCCTTTTCATTTGGATTATAAGCATCAACATTTGTTGTGCATACCTTTTTTTAAGTTTCAAGAATTCGAATTGTATTTGTTCAACAAATTCATGAAATTTGAGAACTAAAAATATCCTTAACGATAATTTGAGGAAATTAGAAATGCCATACAAAATACTGGTATTTTTATTCCAGATTTGTACCTCTGCACCCTTTCAACGTGTTATGTATCTACTTCATCTTACTTTTGGCTTCAGGTATATGATCGAAAGTCTCGAAGGCTTGTCGAGGAACAAATTGACAAAAAGATTGTTTTGTCAATGAGGGCTATTTATCAGTCAAAAATAGGTCTTGGTCTAATGGACATAGGTATGTGGGTTTTATATTTATTTCTCTTAATAGTTGAAAGAAATTGTAGGCTAAATGCATATGTAACTTCACAAGTCACTGCTCTTTGTCATGGCCCTTGTGATACAGTACTGCTGATGTGTTGCCAGTAGAACTATTGCTAGAAAAAAATTTCTGGTTGAAACATGCTGTGCCGATATTAGATCTTGCTGACATTTCTTTAACCTGATTTTGTGTTTTTTTAGTAGATTACTTACTACTAATAAAAAAAAATCAATTTAAAAAAATCTATTTCATCCTTCTGTTACTTGGGTTGCACTTACCTGAGACATGGGATTTGACATCAATATCAGATTCAGATTGAACTCTAATAAACTTTTCCATCGGCGTTGAGTTAGTCATTTGCCTTACTATAGTGAACCTCTGGTATGCAGGGGTGAAGGAGCTCCTGCAAAACATTTCTGAAAAGCAGGGAGCCAAAATGGATTCACTTGAATCGGCTGCTGATATACCGAAATTCATTGAATCTTATAAGGTATGACAATGTTTATTTTAGTTCTTTGTGGGTAGCATAATTTGATTTTGACAAGTTGTGGAACAATGCAATTCTTGGTTATGTAAATGTGGCGCCCGTTGTTTCTGTGCTGTCGTTTCCTTTGGAGTTTTGCTTGTCATCTTGTGCATTTTAGCCATCTCATCTAATGATATACAATTCTTCCTTTTTAAATACAAAATACACATTCTATGTGTGCTTAATAGATGAGCAACTGCTTTGTTTCACTTTCACAAATGGGCTATATTTCCGGCAAACTGGAAGAGCCACTCTTACCATAATTGACAATACAATAGGAAATGAGAATCATATACGTGTGCATACAATTATTTAAAAATGGCACTATAATGTTATGTGTGTGTGTGTATATATGTGTGCGTGTGTGTGTCTGGTGAAACAGTTTTAAGGCATATTAGGATGCTGTTTTGTTTCTGCCACTTTTTTCCTTCCATTTTTCACCTAGTTCTTTACGTGCTGGACTTGGCTGACTATAATCACATTCATCTTATAAAGAGAATATTGTCTTGTAGGGTCAAATCAATTTGGCTGAAGTCAAGTATCCACTGGAACACTTTAAGGTGGGATAAAACTGCAGTTTGAATTCTTTTTGTTATTTGCACACTTGCTTCTGAACACACTTTTTATCCTATTGGTTATTTAAAGATGGTTTTCTGGTTCGATCGATCATGCTTAAAAATTAATATAATAATGGTGTATCATATGCATATGGTCTTATGACTTAATTTAGTAATGGTCTTATGATTTAATTTAGTAAATATTATTTCATGTGAAATATTTTCAGAAAAACATTAACTCCCCCTCCTGTGTTTTCTTAGCTAGGCGATATTTCATTTAGTCGTTATCTATGCTTGAAAAATAATCTGTTACCTTCATTCTGGTTAAATACAAACACTCCTCTTACTAACAACTTTCATTCTGGCTACAGTATGTTTTTATTTACAATTATAACTTCAGTTTTTTTTCTTCACATTTTAGTCATATTCAATGTGCTTTTGTGGGACCCTCAAGTTCTCCTGCTTTACTCACTGATCTCTACGAAGTACTGAAAGAATTTGTTTTTCATTGAGCTTGCTACATATATTTTGTTTGAACAATTTGGAATGAAAATGAACAAAATCTAACCAATGAACATACTGAAAGTCATTTATACTTCATTATGGTAGAGTATTATCTTGTTTATGACACCTATCTTGAATAATGCTCCGGGCAGACATTCAACGAATTTTTCATTAGAGAGTTAAAGCCGGATTCAAGACCAATTGCTTCAGCTGAACACGACAATATTGCTGTATGTGCGGCCGATTGTCGTCTAATGGCATTTAAATCAGTTGATGATAGTATGAGATTTTGGATAAAGGTATTTCTCTTACATCTCTTGCATGTGGAAGGTTTCTTGTCTCAGGAATGCATTTTCTTTTTAATATTTAGATAGATGTTTGTCAGTTGAGAATACGCACTAGAGTAAGACATATTTATCAGTCACAACTAGAAGTTGGCAATGAGTGTTTTCTATTCTGTTTGAATTTAGGAAAAAATAAATAATAAATATGATAAAGTTATGATTTTTCTCGTTCAATTTGGACCTGCATGATTCGCCTGTAAGTTAAGACAGAGGTGTGGGGTAGGGATTGCTTTTTCTTTTATGAGATTACAATCCGGTTCGTTTTTGGTTAAGTGAAATGATTTAGTTGCTTGAACAATTTTTAATGATAATAGTGTGATGTGAGTGTGACTAGTATGAAGCACGAATGCTTTTGAAATAGTGAGCTACTCTTACCGGCTATATATCCGGTAGTAGTAGTAGTAGTGATGCTTCCTTTTTTAATTATTTGGTTCCGAATGAAATTTTTGGTTTTCTCATATATTAATATTATATTATTTATTTTAGTTTCTTTGTTATTGTCACTTAATACAATTTTTTACTTTTTAAATTTTTATTGTGATGTTTTGTTGTGAATTTTAAAATAGTTCTCCCATGTTACAATATATATAAAATAAAACTATTGTTTTTTATTGATGTATTCATACGTCTTTTTTAAGTGATGTATCCCGTACCGTACCTATGCATGACACTGACCACTATTATATCCAACACATTTTCTTTATAATTTATTTTGTCTTCTTATTTATCAGCTACAAGGAAAATCATATATATTGGGATATCTCTCTTTCTCTTTATTATTAATCTTTTATATTCATGTATGTACTCAAAATGAAATTCTTTTGGAATTGTTGTTTGTTGCTTTCAGGGTCGAAAGTTTTCAGTTCAAGGCCTTCTAGGGAAAGAACTGTGTTCCAGTGCTTTTGTTGATGGAACACTTGTGATTTTCCGTCTGGCACCACAGGTGTTTGATGCTTTCTTTCATTGCCACTTTAATTTTGTGTTCTTTTGATTGCAATTTTTTATTTGAATGTTTATCTATTGCAGGATTATCACCGTTTCCATTTGCCGGTGTCAGGAATTGTTGAGCAGTTTGTTAATATCCCTGGATGCCTGTTTACCGTATGCATGCGAATTAATAGCTGGGAAAATCATATTTTATTTACAATGTCTATTTTCTGTCATTGTGTGTTAACTATCATTTGCAACTTTTTCTGACTTGTTCTGTTTCTCTTAGGTCAATCCCATTGCTGTAAATAGCAAGTACTGTAATGTCTTCACAGAGAATAAGCGAGTTGTTTCAATAATTGAAACAGTAGATTTTGGAAAGGTTTGTGATTGCAATTAATTAGCGTGTCATGCACGAGTTTGTAATACTATCCTACTGAAGTTGTTTTAACAGAACACCCTATAAGTTCCCTGGCTCCTCTGCAATTTCATCTAATCCCTGCAGATCTATATGTTACTTGTCTCTGAGTTACCTATGATTTGTGTTCAGGTGGCATTTGTTGCAATAGGAGCTACAATGGTTGGTAGCATTACTTTCACAAAAACACATGGCGACTATGTCAAGAAGGGAGACGAGGTTTGTAATCCGGCCATTTACAGTAAATTACTGTTTTTCCAATTTTCTTCATTGTGTTCTTGTTTATAATTGGCATATGTCTGCTTTAATTGACAGTTTGGATATTTCTCTTTTGGCGGAAGCACTGTAATTTGTGTTTTTGAAAAGGTTGGTATTTTAATCGTTTTACTGTCCATCTTTTATCTTTCGGTTAATTATTTTTGTCATTTCATGTTTGAAATCTATTTAGTGACTTTTAAAACCTCAACTGAAATCTATTTTCCCTCTTATTTTTGTCGCCGTGCTGTGCAGGATTCAATTGCAATTGATGAAGACCTTCTATCAAATAGCGCCAGATCACTGGAGACTTTGGTTACTATGGGGATGAGATTGGGTGTCTCCACGAGGAATCTGTCTTGACAGCTGAGATCGTGTGGACTAACTTAGAAATGTTAATATTTTGGAATGTGTAGTTTTGGGTATTTTTAATTTATTTTGAATCATGACAGCGTTGGTTATTGATGGTGGATATTTCCCATAATCTTGAAACTTTTTTAATCTCCTGAAAGGAAAAATCTGGAAAAGTTGCGGTGATTACACATTCTAACTCCAAGCTTACCTCAAAACTCTTCAAACATGTACACTCTCAATGCCTTGGTGATTATGTTGTTTGAATTTCAATAGAGAAATAGATCACTTTCAACTTTCCTTTGACCATTTATCTCTCAAGAAATGAAATATAGTATCAATGTCTTTACTTCTTCCATGACACAGATGATTTTTGGCAAGATTCATGGTTGATAGATTGTCAATCATCATAGGCACAGGCTGCAGTACCTCCATTCTCAGTTCAGACATCAAAGAGCTCAACCAGAGTTTAACATGCTGCAAAACTTTCTGTCATGTACCACGCCTTGCTTGAGTAAAGTGCAATGACTGCCGTGAAATTGGTGCTTTATGTAATTAAGCATATATTGTTGTACTTCTTTCAATTTTATCACCACTGAAATCAACATCTAAATAGAAAAGTATGACATCTTCTCCTTCCACTTTTTGATTTGGAAATAGAATTACATAGTCTTAAGTATCTTGGAAGCACCTTAGAAACCTCTCTACAACAATGAGATGAGTCGTCTTAGGATTCTCCATGAACCCAATTACAGTTATAACTCTAGCATAAATTAGGCCTGCTATTGCACAAATATCTCTTAGAACCTACAATTTGCTTGAATAGTGTTATCAACTCCATCTTCATCTTCTGCCTTTGTGAGCTTTACATTCACTTCTACTGGAGTTGGTGTAGGTTTGTAGCTACTTTTGTTGAACCGTTTTATCATGTTATTAGCATACCTTGTCGATGGAGGATAGTGCTTGCAATAGTGTACACTGTCCCATTGTGTTCATATTGAGCTTGTATATCCATTTGACACATATTGTGTTCATATTGCGTATTTGATTCTTGTCAATTGCATCAATCTCTTTTATCATAACATTATTCCACTCCTTATTGTACATTTCTTCTTAAGTATCGTATTTGATTCTTGTCAATTGGAACAATCTCTTTTATCATAACATTATTCCACTCCTTATTGTACATTTCTTCTTCAAAAGTTAATGGTTATCAGTTGGAAAATAGAAGAGTAAAATGGATCAATTCTCGGTCATTATCAATTACATCATCCGGATGTCTGAGACGACACTTATTATCTTGATTTAGTTGTGCACTTTTGTATATTGTTTTAGATTGTTCGATGATGATAAATCTAAGGCTTGTTTCTCGAAGAAAAAAAATTACATCATCCGGATATACTTCAAAAAGTTGTGCTTCGTAAAAAGAAGAAAAAAAAAGTCAACTTAGTAGTTAATTTAATTTAATGTTTAGCTTTGATCTCTTAATTAAAAAAAAGTAAAATACTTTTTTTTCCTTTAACTATACTCTTAAGTTAAGTTTGGTCTCTTAATTTTTTTTTTTTGGTGTAAAATTGATCATTTAACTTTTTGTTAAATGCATGAGTCCTTTTCGTCTATTTCGTTAGTCAAAGTCGGTTAAATATTTACGTGACAGTGATGATCAATTCTTAGCGTCGAAAAAACTGACGCTAAAAGTTATTTTGGATTTTAATTATTGTTCTTCATCTTCTTCCCCAAAATTTTAAATTCCATTGCAATTGAAATTGAAATTCATAAAAAATTCATAAACAGAACCTCCCTCCACACTCCAATAGCACATCTCGAAGATAACAATTTTCATTTTTTGTTTCTATTCCGCAATGTAGCCTTTGTTTCTAAATTAAGTAGAACTTCACCCTTGTTTGGATTGATTATGTAGAAATTCTTAATTTTGAAAATCCCAACATTCTGATTTTTGTTCTAATCTGCAATTTAGTCTTTGTTTCTATTTAAGAATTTAGATTTAAATTATTTATCTTGTATTAAACATTTGATTTGAGTATTTATGGCTCTAAGAATTAAAAAGAAGAAAATGAATCAAGAAATAGAAAAAGGAGAATACCATCCATGAAATTGGATCCACCCTGCAACCTTTCATCTTCCCCAACCACCATACCTAACCACAGTCCGTCTAACTTCCCTCCAAACAACCACAAAAAGCACTCCCTCGATTAACCACATATCAACAACCTAACACCTACGTCTGACGATACCACCTTACCAACTTGCGATCTCTACTGATCCAACAACCATATAATATATATCGAAACTCCATCTCCATGGCCAAACGAAAAATGTGAGTCTCCAATCTTTTATAAACAGTTTCCGATCTACTCACATCAAAAGTCCCAAAAAAACCCATAACCAAAAGCTTCATCGCTTCAGGAACCAGCGTTGTTGGTCGAGGTCTCCAACGGTCCACAAACTGAGAACATTTTGGAACAAGCGGTGTAGGAGAATTTGTTGAACAGTGAGAAGAGGTGAAGCAAATCTCCAATTGGAAATCCACCAAAACCTATGATGAATTTCTATCAATCTTGATAAACAAGATTGATATCACTACACAATAACAATGAAAAATATGAATGAAAGAAAATTATTTTTCTACAGAGTTTGTCTCTGCCCATAAATTATAGAAAACTTTCTTATTCACTTGCAACTGTAAATTCTGTGAATACAACTTAATAGATTTGATTACAAAAAATAGGGGTTACTCCCTCTATTTATAGATTTAAGTTAGCTTGCTCTCTAAGCCAAAAGCCCAAAACTATAAAAAGCCCAAAAAACCTATTTTGGAACTAAATCAAATCTATTATATTTTAGATTTAAATCAAATCTATCTAAATCTAAATAAAAAATTTGTGTGTAACAAGTTTTTTTCACACTAAATCAAATCTTTTCGACATTTCATTGTCTTTGTCAAGCAAACTGCTTCGACACAAGGAATTACTTTTAACACATCACCTAATTCATTATGTTTAAGCTATCTACATTCATCATAACTCTTAGTCTTCGAAATACTTCGACTTGCACTCCCTTTGTCATGATGTCTGCAATCTAATTCTCAGTTCTATACTGTTCCAAATTCATCTTCTCATCTACTATCTGCTCTCGAAGATAGTGGAACCTCATTTCAATGTGGTTGCTTCGACCATGAGCTATCAGGTTCTTCGTCAGGTTGATAGCTGACATATTATCGATCTTCATAGTAATTGCTCCATGATCTTTCATGTTATCTCTTCGACCAAGTTCATCATCCATGTTGCTTGACATGGACAAAGAGAAGCATCTATGTACTCTACTTCGCATGATGATAATGCCACTAATAGTTCCTTTCTCGAACTCCAAGCAACTGGTGCACCACCTAGCATAAACATGTATCTTGCCGTGAATTTTTTATCCTCGGCATCACTACACCAACTCGAATCAGTGTATCCCACTAACTTGCATTCTTTTCCCTTATCAACTACAAGAAATAAAATGTCATAGTTGAGAGTTCCTTTGAGATACCTTAGTATCCTCTTCCCCGCTGATAGATGTGATACCTTTGGCTTCTGCATGAATCTACTTATCATACCCATAATGTATGCTAAGTCCGACCTCATATGAAAAATGTATCTTAATGACCCAAAAAGTATTATGTATTGGGTTGGGCTGACATCATCTTCTTCTGAATCTTTTGACAATTGCAACCTTGGTTCAGCAAGTGTTGAAGTTGAATTGCATTCTTCCATCTCAAATCTCTTGAGAATTTCTCCTGTATATCTTCTTTGATGCATCATCAAACATTTACTGCTCTTGTAGAATTCGATGCCAAGGAAATATGAAATGTCACCCAGATCAGACATTTCGAATTCCTTGCTGAGATCAACTTTGAAGTCTTCGATCTTCTTTTTGCAGCTACCTGTTATTAACAAGTCATTGACATAGAGACATAGAATAATCAATTCACTATTACTTCTTCTTACATATACTCCATGTTCAATTGTTCACTTCACAAATTCCTTCTCCCTTAGAAAATTAACAATCTTATTATTCCAAGATCTTGGAGCTTGTTTCAATCCGTACAGGGCTTTATGCAACCTGTACACCTTTCTCTATTTGTTATGTTTCACAAATCCAAGTGGTTGTTTAACATAAACTTCATTGTCTAAGAGTCCATCAGGAATGCATACTTCACGTCCATCTGACATATGTACAAATTGTTTATTTATCTTAGACCAACAACCAACCTGATTATTTTGATCCTAACCACATGTGTAAAAACTTCATCGAAGTCGATTCCTTCTTTTTGGAGAAATCCTTTAGCCACGAGCCTCACTTTGTGTCGATTTACTTCCCATTTGGGATTCATCTTCTCTTTGTATACCCACTTGACATCAATTGCCTTCTTGTCTTGAGGCAATTCGATAAATGACCAAGTGTTGTTGTCTTCGATGGACTTCACTTCTTCGTTCATTGCTTTCATCCACTTCGAATCCTTCAATGCTTCATCTACATTGACAGGTTCGACATCTGCATAGAAAGCATAATGTACCAACTCACCTTGATTATCTATCACATCATATGATGTAATCACATAATCTTGAAATCTTGCAGGCATGTGTCTTGTTCTTTGAGGTCTTCTTGTACTTGGTTGGTCTATAACTGTTGGTTCTTCTTGTCAAACTTCTCTTTCTACTTGAGTTTCTGGTTTTTCAAGTAAGATTCCCACTGAATCTTTCTTGACATTTTCAGTCCAATCCCAATATTTAAGCTCATTTATGATCTTGTCCCTACTAATCATAATCTGCTTGTTCACTGGGTCAAACAACTTCTAACCTCCTATCGAATAATATCTTACTAGAATAATTTGACTCGACTTGTCATCAAGTTTTTTTCTCAACTGATCTGGAACATGTCTATGTGCTATAGATCCAAATACCTTCAAATGAATCAAGCTAGGATTCACACCAAACCAACATTCTTCT